ATATATATATATATATATATATATATATTAAAGATTTTAAGAATTTACAGAAGTTGAGGTAGTTTCTGATACTGTTTCTACTAGAGTCTGATATAGCAAACATTACTCCCATGTGACCAATCAGTCTCCAATATGCTTGCCTTGTTTACTGTTGGTTACTAGGTTCTAAAAACTACAATTAGCCTCTTCACCAACTTTATGAAAACACACATAATTCACATTTGAGGTTTTATTTTTTATTTTTTTTGCAACTATTGAAAAGATTCACTTCATATTAAGGTGGACTCATAGCTACCGGTAAACATGTAGACAAATTTAAGCACAACCATAAACAATGCTAGAATTTGCACTGGTAAAATGAGAAAAAGAAGTGATTCACTTCCAACAACTTAAATGCAACCGGTGAACACTCTATATCATCAATTATCCAATAGTTATTTGCATAAACGAATACTTTAATTTAATTTTCAATGTTTTGATGAAACGTTACCTCACTAATTCATCACTAATTGGACCACATCTCGTCCTAAACCTCATCAGTCACACCATCTTGTATGTTTCCCCTGGGGTGTGCTAATCCTGAAGCTTGACCAGTCGGCACAGCGGGACGCCATGCCAAACCCTCTGCGATGACATCCAGACTGGCATTACTCAAAGTCCTAGTCTTAATTCACTCTAATCTCCACCACAGAAAGATGATTGTGCCTAGTGGATGGAGGTGGCCCACGGCTTTGTGATGAAAATGGAGAACCCCTCATGCGGCCCCCTGTGGAGTGTCTCTTCATTCAGGCATAATCTCATACAATTAGACTCATGAAATACAATAAGGCCCACAAAGTGGTTCAAATGGGCTGCTCTGAAAGCTATAGGCTGATAGTTTGATTTACAGCTTGTAGTACAGCACCATTCGAAAGTTCGGGATCATACAGCTGATTAATAAATTGATAAAGAATGCTTTCGCTATACTTATCTGTTCATGTAAATTAAACTGATTGTGCTTATTTGCTGAATTCATGGAGATAATTACACTAACCATGAAGATTTACAGAATGAGCAAACTGCAATAAGATTTATTTGTCAAAATATGTACTGATATATTGCTCCGCCCACTTCCATGATAATCTTAAAAGGCCATGATTGATTAGTTTCCCTACAGTCTAAAAAATGTAGGGTTGTTTAAACCTAATGTGGGGTCAAATATGGACATACCCGACATTATATATATATATATATATATATATATATATATATATATATATATATATATATATATATATATATATATATATATA